TGTACAAAATTCTTGAAGTTCTAATAAATTATTAGATTGTAAACTAATTTGATAGGTAAATTCAAAATGTTGTTCTATCCATTCCGACTTATTTTCAATTAAGTATTTTTGTAAATAATCAACTAGTTCTTGAAGATGAAGCACATCTGCAGCGGCCAAAACTTTAAAAAAATCTGAGGTATCTTGTTCTTCCAACGAAAGAATACCGCCATAGATATACCTATTTACAAAAAAATTTTATAATTTGAATATTATGTTAAATATATCACAATATGCAGTATAACTTACTCTATAATAATTTGAAAGATTTCCGGCGATATATTTGATAATTTAATATGAACTAAACCATTATCATTACTCCTTTTTTTGGAAGCCAAAGCCCGTCGTAAATATGGAGAACGGTAACATAAAATATTCATATGAGTACGAAATATTTTTACGTTAGGGTCTTCTCCAACTTCAATTGTAGTATCATAATATTCATCATCTTTTAATAGTTCGATATAATTTTGACTTAATTTTGAAAAAAATTGAGTGGGCATGTTTTTTTTTAAAAAAAAAAATACAAATGGTTAATTTAAATACGTAATACTTACTTACTATTTGCTATTGTTTCACCATTATGCCGGAGGTAGATCTTTCGGTTACGCCAATCTACCTCTTAGAGATACCGAAATTTTCCTAATACAAAGATTAATATGTATAGTTTTGCATATTATCGTTATCTTTATAATTAATTTTTAACTTTTTTCCTTTTTCGTTATACTGAGAGAAGAAATTTGGTTTTATTAAAACTAGAAAGAACTTATTTACGTACCAAAAATTTTTGATTCTTGCAAAAGAAACTTTACAATACTTAAACAAGGCTTAAAGAATTTGATTTTTTTAGCTAACATTTCGATTTTTTCTTCATTTCCCAAGGTAGGAAATATGAAGAAAGTAAACGAAGATGTACTTATTGTATTCGATTAATATCTAATCAGCAAGTTCAGAAAATATCTGTAATCCAATTTTTAAAAAGGTTTCAAGTCATTCGTTTCAAAAACGTTTTTCCAAATGAAGTATGATTACATCAAGTTAACCCTCGAATAGATCATGAATAGGATTGATATTATAATATTACGGTATATTTAGAAGTGAATATAGAATTAATTGATATTAGGACAATTGATATTTATTTATAATATGAGCTGGATAAATTATTGTGAATATTATATTCGGTATTATGAGTATACAGCTTACCTTTCAACTGAAAAATCCAAGATTTTCGATTTTTATTACTATTAAAAGAGAACGTATTCGAAGATTCTTCTTAATCTCGCAAATTGAAAAATAAAGTTCTCCAAATTAAAATTTCTTGCATTTCGTTTATAAATAAAAAAATAATAATGGTGTAATATGATTGATACACCATATCATATATATTAACAATATGCATGTGATGTAAATTGGATTCGCGCAGTAGGCGCAGCGTACATTACTTTTATTTCCCGAGTATTTCGTTGAAAATATTAGGCGGCTATCATTATTTTAATCTAATATATAAAGCGCATATGAAATTAGTAGGTTGCGCGTATGAATTAGAATTTTTTGAGTTTATAACACTGCATGTCACAAAATAAAAATAGAATAATTAATCGTATTTAGATACACTTGGAATAAAATTGTAATAACAATAATAACGTAAAAAGTTTAGTTACACAATGATGTAACATACAAAAATGCGACCAAATTAATATCCCTTGTAAAAGTGATGCACGAATTTAAGCTAATGTTATCACACTGCTCGTCTTCCATTTGGTTCTACAAGATTGTAACCTGCCTTCAAATCATTATAAAGTATCAACCGGCTAATTTTGACGGATCCGCCCGGTCCTTAGCCGGTCTTTGGAATATTTGAAAATGTAGCAACAACTGCGCCTTAAAATTTTTGGGGTACAGTAGGTTCTGTCTCAATCTGATCAATCAGTTCAGAACAAAGAAGAATTTAAGAAAACAAACATTTTTTTTACCCGCTCTTTCAACATTTTATCCGATGTTGATTAATTGATCACGTATATAGAAACCGATTATCATTTTATAAAACGTGATACCTTTATTGGTTTGATACCTCCAGGAATTAGAAGATCTAGTGAATTATTTTCATTATAAAAATTATGATTAATAATTATATAATAATTATAATTTTTTAGCAACATGATTTACCGTATAGAGGATAGAAAAATTAGAAAGGGTAGGACAACCAAGATCGTAAAGATTGACTTAACATCTTTTATACTTACTGAAAACACACGCATCATCTCGGGATACTGCATCATTACAATTTATAGAGGCGTAAATTATAACGAGGGTCGACCATTAAATCTTAAACTACATGATAGGACCATAATAAGGATCTACGGAATATTGAGTGCGGTAGTCGGTACCTGATTGGTGGACTGGCGGTCCCTAAAGGGTGACGTTAAATTCCTTAATTCCTATCTCGATAGGTAGACTATCTATGAATTTGCAACACAATATTTTTTCTGTCCAATCTCAAAGAATGAACATCGAGTAATCAGAATAAAAGAAGGACTTATTATAAGGCGAGTCCAGAATCATTGAGGAAAGGTCACTAATTGGTAATACTACTTTTGATGATATTCAAATGAGTTGAAAATATTTTGCAATGAATGCACTATCCATTTTCATACTTTTCTCCTTTATTTTTTATATTATTTTACTACTTTTGAAAATATAATGAATTATTTATATAAATTTGTAGTGGATATTAAAAATTAATTCATTGGTAAATTCGATGGTGCACGGTAAGTCGGCAACTTACTACCTTTCGAAATAGTTCCGGGGAGTAGAGCAAGAAGTGCCAGTCCTGACCCATCGGGACGATTCCATAGAGATAATCGAAATCATCATCAGCTCGTTTTCCTTTCTTCATTTGTTTTGTAAAACAAATGCACTTTCGAGTTTATGCTGCTCGTCCTCCGTAATGCAAATAAGTTCCTCGGTTTCTTGGAATAAAGAAACATTAGTACTTTTTTCTTGATTGAGGTAAATATTTCATAAATAAAAAAAGTCTCAACCTTTGCATAATCGACCCGACCTTTGCTATCTTCGCCAATAATTCCATACTGGGGCGCATAAGAAGTTTCTTTTTCACTTCACTTTAAAGGTGTATATATATTTTAATTTAATAAATTTAAGGATAGGACCAAACACAGGAGAAGTAAATGCGAATAAAAAAGAATTCTATGCAGAAAAAATTACGTTTGGTTAAAATAGAAGGAGATATAGTCTTTTATTTTTATTATCAGAAAAAAAAAGTGTACAGTACAGTATCGAATATTCAATCGAGAACTTAAGTCATTTTTTCTGCATTAATAAATGAAATTAAAATTAAGGACAAATTTATTTAATATGCATGTTATTTTAAGTAGAACATATTGAAAATATAGGCAATTGAACAAAAAGGAAAGATTTAAATGATAAAAAACTTATTAATAAAGCTTATAAATAATTAAGTAAAATAATTAGATCTAAAAAGAATCTAAAAAATAATCAAAATCATAATCTTATAATAGGCATTTCTATTATCTATATAGATTATTTATCTAAAAAAAAAAAGATTTTTTAAATCGCTAAAGAATGAAATTTATTCATGCGATGACTTAAAACGCCAAAAACAGGATTTGCACTACGTTCGCTTAATTTAGAATCACTTCTAACTTTCAAAATTTCACCTAAACCACGTTTATGATAAGTACAATGTGGGAGATACAATTCTTTTAAGTCATGAGAAGATCCCCAAATATTCTTTTCGATAGATTTCTTCAATCTATGATCTTCGATATAATCACCATAGATGTGAGCCATCTTTCTCCAGCATGGATCGCAAAAGAATGATTTTGGAATACGAATTTTCTTTCCATCTCCTTTGATAACGAATCTAAGGTCATGGGTTATAATAGCCTTTGGATCAGCGTTTGTTTTCTTCTTCATCCATTTAGTGAGTTTCTTAATGAATTCAAAACTGCAGAAATCTAGTATATAATAGAGAATTACAATGTTACATTTTAAGATATACACTAAAGAACGTTAAAAGAAGATTGTACTTTAAAAATTAACAACTCACCACCATGATTGTTTTTAGTACAAAGAGCTTTGCGAGCAGGAATTCCAGTGTAATAAGTTAGCAAAGTACCATAAGCAGCGTAAGAGGTAATATCTTTAATATTTTCAGGATGATCACTCCAATCAAGTTTAACACTTAATTCATGTTTACAGACTTTTTGTATATTATTATAAATCTTCTCAACTTTATTTTGGCTACAATGGAAACCTTCATGGCAATATTTATTTAAGCCTTTCTTAATGAAAGTAACGTCATAAGGTTTTGGTTTTTCACCGGAATCTTTTATAACTTCAAAAATATCACGACCAAAATTGAAAGCAGTAGCACATTGACCGGGATTTTTGAAATGATTCCACATTAACGATTGACATTTATTACAATGTTTAGTCTTGAAAAGTTCTTGACAAGTATCAGGAAAATCGTGTTCCCATTGTTCGGAATCACCATAATCTCCGTTAGCTTGAACTTGTAACGAAAAAATCGTGAATAATGCAAAGAGAAGAAGATATTGAAGCTTCATAATTGTTGCTTATATATATAAGTATGTCTATATATGTATATCCTTTATTTAGATTTAGAGGAATTAAATCTTGATGAGGATGTCTTTTGAATAAAGCGGAAAATTGGGATTTTTATATGTATTTCATTTTCTGCGCCATCATCATAAAAAGGGATAGATATTAATTAATCTTGCATCGTGGATTTCTCCCAACCATAAAAGGAATTTTATCATTGAAAATACAAAAATATCAATCATATCAAATTATATCAAATCAAGTCAAATAACATATAAATTTTTTTTTTTATAACGAAGCAAGGAAACTTCTATACCGAAAAAAGTTTGTTTCATTTTTAAAATGATCATCATATCACATTAAACAGCGGTATGCACGGCATGAAATTACCCTTTTTTCATTATTGAATGAAAACCATGAAGATCTCAATTATATTAAATTGTTCCATAAATATCGAAATAAAGAGAAAAAAATATTTTTAGTTTTTTCGTAAAATCCGAAGATTAATTTCATGCATTTTGTTTCATCGTATTTTTCCTCCTTATTATTATTATTTAAAAATAATGAAATTAAATTTTCTCTCAAGGCTTAAAAAAGTTAAAAAGAGTTTTAAAGTTTTTTTGAATATTATTTTAGAAATTTAGATAATTGTCCAAATATAGTGAATTTGATATTTATCCTAAATTAAAATTTGACCTATTGTTGAAAGATCAAAAAAATAAATATCTTTTGATTTGTTAAATTAATATTTATTCATTATAATAATAATTTTTTTTAATTGAAAATAAGGAATATTTAATAAATTATTTAAATTATTTCGAAATATTGTACAACTTCCAATAAAAAAAATAAAAGTAATGAAAGCTGCAAGAATAAATTACCATTACGCTCTAAAATTAGAATAAATTAATGTAAAAAATTTCATCATAAAAAAAAATTATTATTATTTTTTTTTTTTTATCGTAAAATCAAAGATTTTTGGGAGTCGTGGCTTAACATCGCATGATTGCATCAAATTAAGTTTGTTTGTTAAATTACTTATTTTAGTTAAAATATTAAGTGGGGAGACCTGATATATCCTAAAATAAAAAAACCGGATTTTCCGGATTTTTTATGTGTAAATAAAAATTCATTAAACTAATCCTATTACAGTATGTTGGCCTCACAATCACGTTCTAAAAAAAAATGGAATTTACCTTTTTCTCATTAGTCTCAAATTATTACACTGCCACATTTATTTGAGAATTTTCTTTTCATAAATTGCGCATAATAAAAGTGTTATTTTTATTTAAAGTGGAGAGTATGTGCAGTATGTATTTATGGATCTTTATAACTTTCACATAATGACGATACATTCAGTGCAGACTTTTTTCGGGGAGGGCCTATTTGCAACGACTTGATTATTTTTATCGCAGTTTTCAGAATTTGTACGTTGTGATTAATGAGTGATTATTATTACAGGACAATTACGGGACGATTACAGGACGGTAATCTTCCTTTAATATAATAATCGTAATTGTTTAAATTGTTTATCAGATGATCTATAGTGGGTAGCACGATTTTGGAAAGCGCAATCAGATATTCTTGGCTTGTTCGATTATTTTCGGGAATATGAGATATTTTATATAAAAGTAGTATTATCTCGTTCTTTTTTTTTATTTTTGTATAATTTTAATTTTAAAAACGATTTTATAAAATGAATATCTTATTTATTGTTTTTTTGATTCTCGTGACATTCGTATCGTCAACTCCAATAAGGCGTCAAGATGCGCTCAGTGGTTTTAGACCATGTCAAGGCGATTTCCCAAATGAAATTACCTTATTTAGTTTTACTCCCAATCCACTTGTCGGAGGTCAAGAATTTACTGTTCGTATCGGTGGTAAAGCAACTATAACTATTGAAAGCAGTACATTGTATAGGCTTACAGTGAATAAAGAAGTAATCTATGAAACGAGTTTTTGCAAAGAATTTGTCATATCTAGTGGGTTCACTTGTCCAGTAAACGATAATTTTGATTTTACCGCAAAACCTCATCCTATTTCTAAACATACTCAAGTTGAATATGATGTAAAGATAACGAGTGAGTAATAATAATATAAATTACTTATAAATTTTTTTGATTTTATAAAATTTTGTTCTTTAATAACCTTTACTATATTTTATACAGTTACAAATCCGGATGGTAAAGATTTATCATGTATTGAAGGAAAAGTCAGCATAACTCATCCTTAATATCATTATAAGTTATATTGTTTACAGTATATATTGATGTAATATTTGATATCAAAATAAACTTATTAAATTTATTATCATCAAAAAGTTTTATATGTTTGAAGTTTTCGTACGCCAACTCTCAATCTTTTATTAGAAATAAAATAAACAGTTTCAAAATTCATTTATATGAACAATAACATAAACGTCAGAAAAGAGATTTTTTTTTTTTAGAGGTAAATTGAAATGAGTTTTTATTGCTTATATTTCTTGGCGTTATGGATCAAAATAAATCACACTAGTTTACTGTACGTGTGATCTTGGTCGCACGAACATATTCGATATATTGATGTTACAAATTTATACAACTGACTAATAAATACACCATTAAATCATTAAAAATGCAGTATGTTAATAAATTTTAGCAATATATTTTTTTATTTAAATCATTTTATAAAATCATAACGTAGAAAGAAATGGTTTTAGATATAATAAAAGAGTATTATTTTAATTTTCTTTGAGGTTTTCTTCCGGTTAAGGAGCAGAGCGAGAAGCACTTCTTTTACCTATTATTACAAATCAAATAACGGTTAATTCGTCTTGTTCAAATTAAAAAAGAACAATTACTTTTATAAGCTCACCTTTCATAGTTTTCTTTGGCAACAAATTTTTATGAATGTTGGGCATGACACCTCCCTGAGCAACTGTAACTTGGTTAAATAATTTATCCAGTTCTTCATCGTTACGAATAGCCAGTTGAATATGGCGAGGAATAATTCTTACTTTCCTGTCACCATGAGCAATTTTACCGGCAAAATCTAATACTTCGGCTACCAAATACTCGATAACTGCGGAAAGATATACGGGTGCAACAAGACCAATACGTGATGCATAGTTTCCTCTTCGAAGATAACGATTAATACGTCCGACTGGAAATATGATACCAGCCTAAAAGATTATTATCGACGAAAGAGATAAGTAAAAAAATGAAAATTATAAAGTCAAATACTTTATTTTTCTATACCCAAACATACTTTCTGAGATCTTGAAAAGTACTTTACTTTCTCTACTTTTGTTGTTACGATTTTACCAATACCTGATCCGTTCATTTTGTTTCTTGTACGAGTTTTATTAAAAAAAAAAGATATAAAAGATATGTTATATATTTGATTAAACTTTTTTGTAAACCGTTTCTACGAAAAGTTTATGATGTTTGAGGTACGGTATTTATATATTTATTTGATCATAAAAAATTGAGTTTGTAAATTATGTATCTGATTGATTAAATAAGTATAACCAGAATGATTCATCATATTTTAAAACTCAGCTTGAATTTTTTAGGAATAGGTACTTGTCGTTAAAATATTTTTTTTTTAAATTATTACAAGTGCGTAAATATTGTAAATATTATAAATTTAAAAAACATGAATTTTTTATATTGTTTTTGCATTTTATTATCCATGTAAAGAAAGTTTTGAGTTTATAAATAAATAATATGAAGTGGTGTAATATTTACGAAGGAAATTAATTTTTGAAAAAAATGTTTTATTTTTAATTTTGTTTTGTTACTTTTATTAAATTTTGAGAATTTTTTTATAGAAAATGAAAAGACTGTCATCTAACAACCATTATTTAAATTTTAAAAAAGCAAACCTAATTAGTCGTTTCTAATTATATTTTTTTTTTAATTTTTAATTGGAAATAAAATATTTCTTTCAACCGACCATGTTTAAAAAGACGGTTTAAAAGTATTTTCAAAAATTCTTTTTTTTTTTTGATGAATTGAATTTTGATTTTCATAATAAAACTTTTAAACTTCAATACTCAACCTGAATATAATTTTGCCTTTACGAACAGTTTTTACAGTTTAAAATCAATTTCTTTTAACCTGTTACATCAATGATGAATGATATTATAATTACAACAATTCTATATACAAACTAACAATCGTTGACAACCATCTACAACCTAAATATCCTATCTTTTTTCTAGAATGGTTTATTAATTATATCGTACTACTATATCATATACTAATATATAAATATATATCGTTTTAGAACCAAAATGGAAGTGAGTATATACTAAAAAGCGATGTCACCCGAAACTATCGTGAACACGAAAGCAATATTTATTGTGGTCTTTATAAATTACTTTATCTCATGATCCGTCTTATTATTTTGAATTTCTTTTAGTTTTTAGATACGAGAGACCCGTTTTTTTTTGAAAGCGACTATTGTTTTATTGGACTATTTTATATTTCTCTATTTTATTTGGAAATTATAATTTGCGCAGTAAATAGTAAACACATTAAATATAATTTGCAAATGATAAACGACTATTAGAATGTATAACAATTAACGAATAATCACTTGACCCTCCCGGTGGCGTCATCTTTAATTGTAAAGCGGGTCAAAGACTCAAAGTCAGACGATACATTTGGCGTCGCTGATGCACATTCTGCACCAATCGGAGGCGATCGTCACATTACCCGAGGTTTTTTTCCGCTTCCGTATATGTTGTGTTGAAAGCTGTTCTTTGAATTTTCTTTAATACACGAGTTTGTAACCGCCTTAAGTCAACGTGATTTTTTTTTTATTAATTTCTTTGTTATATTTTAAAGAAATCAGTGTAATATCGTTCTAAACGAGTCAAGTACCCTTTGAAAATCGCATGACACTAAAAAGTCCCCTTTGTATTCTCATGGTGTATTAATACTTTCAGTAGATTAAATTGAATAGTTGACTTTTCAAAAGAGAAATGGACATTTTCAAATATGTAGTCTAGGCAATAATTTTTTTACAATATATTCAATATATTTTGACGGTTATGCTGTAAATCAACCATGTAAATTACAATATACAGTAATTATATTTAATAAAAATTAGAAATGTGGCTACCTGTCTTTACTTAATTATGAAACTAATTTCGGCTGGTCAAGTTACCCAACCGGACTCTCGGAGTCCGGTGACGCAAAAATTACTTTGTTTGACCTCCTTGTGACCTTGTGTTATTATATAAGTGTAAATGACGTAAAACAATATATACCAATAAAATAGTACCACGGAGAGGATCAAAATATTTGCCCCGAGTCCCCTACTCATGTTAGTCATGTATAATCGGGTTGTACCGGGTAATTTGCATCTGAGTCGCGAGTCATTTCTATAAATCATGAAGATAATCTTAATTTTTTTTTATTTCTTATTTTTTATTTTTTTTTTGTTTAATGAACCGATCTTGTCGAATAATTCAATTTTATTTATAGATACTGATACTTCATGTACAAACTTTGTATTTTTAGTATGCAGAATAATGTTTCACCAATAAGATTATTATATCGAAAAAAAAAAATTTTTTTTTTTTTTTTAATTTAAACAAATATATTATTTTTTAAATAGATAATTGTTTTCTTTATTTCTCTATTTTTATTAAAATACATTACATAAATTTTTTTCATTAAAAAGTAATCACACATGAAATTATACCTCATATTGAATATTACCACAGTAAATATCGGAAAACTGAGGAAAACTGCGGAAATGGCGACACAACTTTTTTGATGTGCAATAACCTTATTTGGTAAGTTAAGGTCTCTTGTCAACGCGTTATTCATTCAACTAATTGTTTTGGAAATTGTGCACGGTAACACTTTCTTGCAGTACAACAAACTTCTTTTTTAGAATTATTTGAAATTATTTAATTATTTATTATCTCTCATTTTTTTTTTTTTTTTGGTTGAACCACCGTGAAATTACTTTAACTTAAAAAATTTTGTACATTACTCGCGTAAACGACTAGAACTAGTCGTTTGCACAAAAAATAATTTTTATTTTCGCGAAGGTTACATTAACTACGACGACTTCCTCTCGTAATTTTGGAACTTAGTGTTTAGGAATATGCACTCACCTACGGAGCACTTTTCAGACTCGTACGAGCCAAACGACCGGCATGTCGTAAGTGAAAAAAAAGAATGTAGAGTGCTCAGTAGAAAGGAGAAAACTGCAACTCCGTATTTATTGGAAGAATGGAGAGAAAATATGTTGTTTTGGAAGAACCATGATACTTGTCGTCGAATGTTTAACGTAAGTAAGGGGTTTTACGTTAGTTTCTACATATAAATTAGTAATATTTATACCCGTAAACGAAATATAAAGGTATCATTGAATAAGTATTGTAGATGAGAAATATTGCATAACGTGAGCAATTTTTGTATATGGTTTTCTAAAATATTATTTTTTTTTCGTTAGTGGGTACGAGAGGTACTTGGAGGCCTGGATGAAAATTTTCTCAAAAAAATCTTCAATAAGCTCCTTCATGATGGAGAACTTGTTAATGATCATGTTCGCATGTATTTACACATTAATGGTTATAAGGTCGATGGACGAGAAATAATTGACGTAAGCACTCAACTAATTGTGAAATTTTTTTTCTTTTTTTCAACATTCTTAATAAAATTGTTACGGATTTATTCATAATACAGATCCCATACTGGATGCATATTGCGTTTCTCCAAGTTATGCACCTGGTATATCTAGATGATGATATTATGTTGTCGGAAATGATTGAGGAATTAACTCGTCCACGATTGAAACATAAAAACGCAAAAAGTATGTTTTTCTTATTTATTTATTTACTACTAATTATTTTAATTAATCATTTCGAGTTTTAATAAATAATTTTGGTGCTCTTTTTTTTTTTAGAAATTACAATAATGTTGAATATGTTTTTTGGATACATATCAGAAAGGTCGTTTTTAGTGGTAGAATTTCCCATGGACGATTGGAGGAATAACTTCGATCATTTTGTTAATGATGTTGAAATTTCAACTGAAACTCTTCCAATGGATATCGTTATTGATGTTATTGATGATGAAAATAGGGATCGTCCGAACGTAAATCCTATCGATCAAGTGATCCCTGTTTTTACAGTTGATGATACTGGTTACTCTGGTGATGATCCTGATGCGCAACCTTGTTCAGTTTCCGATTCTCCTTCACTACCAAACGACGAAGTCAATGAAGGCCGTGCGGATAAATTCACAAATTGTACTCTAAATGATGAAGGTGCAACACACAAAATCGACAAAAACGAATCTGCTCGCCCGGTAGATATTATTACCATAACAGATGATTCACCTATAGGCTTAGATAACCGACTCATTGCTACCCCATCTTTAACGGACGCGCATCCTTCTTGGGACTGTTTGGTATTTCAAACTTCACCAGGCAGACCAGGAAGAAAGTCCAAGATACGAGTGACAGCCGAAGAGAAAGCGAAATTCAATACACTTGTATTTAGCTCTTTCCTGGGAACAAAACGTGACAACGCTTCGCTCATTTTATCCACTTCAAAGTCAAATGATACAAATGATACGGAACTAGCGGGAATTAAAAGTGGGATATTTTATGGGCTCACAATTTTTTTTAAAGGTAATTGCATTAATATTATAATTTGTTAATTATTACATAGATTATTAATGTAGAAATTTCTTCCATTTTAGATCGAGCTTTACATATCCGAGAAAATTTAAGAACTCTTGTGACACAAAATGGAGGTGAAGTTTGGTAGGTTATTTAATAAATTGATTTTTTATTTATTAAATTTATTTATATATTAACTTTATTTGTATTATTTAACAGCGATAAGCTGAAAAAAATAACCACTCATGTAATAACATGTAAACCAGTACCTTGGTATAAGGTTGATGAGTTGCGGCGCAGCACAAACTGCCGGGTAGTCAACCCCGAATGGATTTTGGAATGTACACGTGTTGGTCGACGTGTTAATGAAAATGCATTCAATATGGCTGGGGTTCAACAGGTGAGGATTATTTTTTCTAAAATTCAATATGTGTGTGATTATTATTAATAGTGTATAATTAACTTTATAGTCGCAACCAACAATTTTAAAATTTATGAGTGGAGATACAAATGATCAACTAGGTTCTGATGACCTTCCTAATACAAGGAAAAGAGGAAGAGAGGTTGATGATATTCCAAGTGAAAACAAGAGGCATCGAGTCAATTCTTACGTTGGTTCTGAAATTCAAAATCATGTACAAGATATCGAATGCGTCTGATTTGAAGCAGTTAGAAGTTTGTAGGTGGCAGCAATGGCTTTTTGCATGAACAACCGATGGATCGAAAAAAAAGGTCGAATAATAAGTGTCGTATGTTTACTGCGACAAAAGTAGATTTTGACAATTATTATGCAAACGATAAGAAATTTATTCTTCAATGGGTCACAATGTCTTGTAGGTGCACTATAGAAATTGGTATTGGATACCCTTTTAGTAGAGCTAACATTTTGTTGTGGCGCATAAGAAATAATCAATGACAATTTGATTTGCAAGAAATGCTGATATCTGGATCTAAATTCAACAATGTTTTGGAAAAAAATTGAATTATAATTAACTTTAACGAAAAAAAACATTATATAGAGGAGCAATAGATTCAACGCTATTTAACAAACGCACGTTATATATAGATCATCGCCAAAAAAAAAAAAAAAAAAATTTGTATGAATCATGTATTGCAATATTTATTTAACAAATAAAAGATAGAATTATTATGTCCTTCCGGTATCCTTTTAAAACGGGTTTAAAACCTGTTTATTCGAGTTATTTTAAAATGGTACATCTAAAACCTACCATGATTTATTATAGTTTTGTTAATATTTTAACAAATTTCACACGATTTCTTTAAATAAGTAATATTAATATAAGAGAAATACGGTAGATATTATTTTATTTTAGCGAGACGATATATACAAGCACTGTATGTTTCGTGGAAATTTTGACAATAAATTTAATAAAATATACTTTTTTTACGATTTCTACGATTTCCGATTAATTATACAAGTAGTATATTATAGATATTACAAAATGTACGGAAACGCATATTTTTTTTATTGAAAAGCAAATAAGCTAAAGATCAATCAAATGTCTAAATTCTTTTATTTTCTAAAATTTACATTGGTGTATCCAAAAGAATAATTTAAGAAATAATTTATAAATTGAACAAATGACAAATAATAATAAACAAATTGAGAACTGATAATTTCGTAAAAAAAAAAAAAATACAATTAACAACAATTCAACATACGAAACGATGTGATGATAGTAAAAATAAAATGATATTATTTCAAAATATTGCTATTAAAAACCCTGTATCAGGCAATGAATTACGAAATTTTCTATCGTCTTTCAACCGAATTTATGCAAACCTTTCTTTTACATAAGTAATAAATAAATAGATATATAATTAAGAAAATAAATATTAATATTATAAAAAAATCAAATTAAAAAAAAATATAAATGTAAAATAAAAATATGAAATAAATGTTCCATTAACATTATTATAAACAAAATAAAATAAAATTTTTACACGTTTTCTATTTTTATTCTAGATCAGATGGACATATTATAAATGATATCTTTGTACTTGATATTTATAATTTAACGTAATATAAACATTTCTTTTGAATTATTTAGAAAAATCCATTTTTTTAATAAATAATTTTTATGTTTTTATTTAAAACAAGTTATTCGTACGACGAAACTTCATTCAATTTAAGATATTTATTATTTTTTTTTTTTGTAAATTAAATCTATTAAATTGAACATGATCCAGAAGAATTCGTTGGATTAATTTTTGATGATAAAACGAAAGTTATATATACCTTGAATCTATGGAAAATCCGAAATTTAATGTATATGATGTGAAAAGTACCAATTATCGTTGATAATACCTTTGGCGCTAGCAAGTAAAAGATTGTAATTTTTTTTTTTACTTTATTCATATTAATGATCTCTAATTAATTGATTTATATATATAATTAAAAAACTTGAACATGATTCAGTATTATTGTTCATAATAGGTTTATGGTCTAATTTTAATTAAGCGTCATTTTGAAATAAGTTAATTCATTGGGCACAACGAAGTGGATTGAATGATGTAGTAATTGATAGAGGCAAGTTTACCGCTGAATAATAGAAGATTCGCAATTTTTGATCTAAGTCCTGAACTCCTGATTATCATAGGATAATTTTGGGTATAACGTCTTTACTGTGAAAACACGGTCAGTAATTATGTTATGTTAGAATATTTTTGGATCATTTTTATTAATCATTTTTATTAATACAAGTATTGAAACCTTGTCATTAAGAGTTAATAGACAAGCTGAAAATGCCTTTGGAATTAGCAAGATGGTCAGAATCAAAACATGACGTCCTATAGGTTTCATATCCAGGATTTGAATCACCATACTTATCATGAAAATGCTAAAAATATGCGGAATGGATTTGGATGTATTTGCTTTTGGTGTTAAAAGTGATGCAAATGTTGGAACCGAATTCATTGATGCTTTACGACCTGCAAGATAATAATTTGATTTTTTTGTTTTTATTCATATGAAAAAAATATTTGGCTATTTGGTAAATGTGAGTGACTCAAAAATTCTTTTTACTACATCCTGCTTCAACAACACATCCATAATTGATGGATAAAGAACAATTGTAAATAAAGAGACGATATATATCTCCGTTGGTCATGAACAACATATCGATGATATTAAAGAAGATTTTACAATTGCGTTTTAAAAACAATTTAAAGAAATCGAATAATATTTTTGACTTCACGTACAAACAATAATAACATTATGTATATATATTTTATATCTAGATTAGAAGAATGTTCTTATTATAATTTTTATTTTATTTTTTTTTTAATGGTAATTTATGTCAAAAATACGAATTCACTGCTTTATAATAAACAATTTTATAATTATTGACACATTCATGCAAAATGATCTTCAAAGTGAAACTTTCTCGCTAGGACATATTTGGACTTTAATTAATAGAACGCAAAATTTTTTTTTTTTTTTTTTTTTNTAGGAAGCAAACCGAGGTCTTATGTTTGTAATATATTGGGAATTTGGGATAAATTACGTAATAATCGCACATATGATTAAATTTTTAAGTGTTAACAAATAATGAAATGACTACGCAAAAATAAGTAGACAAAAAAAAAAAAATTTTTAAATCACAAAAGGACGGCAAAAAAAATTCTTTTTGTTATTTGGGTTAGTTTGAAAATAGACCTATTAATTTTGCGTATTCCTTTTTTTTTTATTGGTTTAATAATAACTTGCGTGATTTTATAAATTTACTATATTTAGTATAATTTACTACAGCGAAGCTTTAGAATGATCTATACACTTTAATTTGTCGTACAAATTTTTCTTAACCGTTATAGGAAAAATATATATATATACATATTGACCATATTTATTTAAATAATCGTTTTTTTTTATGTTTCCTTTCTCGTTAATTTGTGCTCCACTTTTATTTTCACCATTTTCTTCTGTGAAATAATTACACCAATTAGACCTACATCTACATGCATCTTGACTAAATAGGTATAAATAATAAAGTTGATTAATTAACTGCATTATCGTTATGTCGATAAATACTAAAATTAATTGTGATTTTTCCATAATACCATGGTAAATTCTTAAAATTCCATGTGGAAATCTAGAAATACTTTCCGTATCATCAAAAGAAAGTTCTTTTTAAAACTTCTGATAATGTACAATTCAGATATAAATACAGTACAGTCAAATTTCCATAACATATAGTAATTATCATAATAAAATGGAACTTGTAAATACGAATAATGAAAGTTCATTTGACCCAACGCCAAAATTAAAATCTAGTCCTATACCGATTAAATTTATTTCTTTTAATTGCTTTGATAAAAATTGTGTTTATTGTGGAGAAAAATATACTTGGGCGCTTTTTTGTCGTGGGCAACATTATTGCAAAAAATGTCTATCACGTTATATTAATGACATGAGTCATGTAACTGATGTAACTGATAATAATATATACTTGGACGTATATTACACAATGGACTTGGAATGTGGTGAACATGAAATAAGTAGGTCAAAAGTACCACAAAATATTCAAGAATGCTGTGGAAATTGCTTGAGAATTTTATGTTTTAAACAAATAATATATGATTATGATATTAGTGATTATGGTCTTGATAACAATGATCTCACTAAACACAATAACGTAATTGAAAGTGAAAAAGATTGTAGATTATGTGGAAAATCATTATATCAAGGACCAGAGGAATATATTATGAAGCTATTTAAGTTATGCTCAGATTGTTATCTAATTTCTTCCGAATGTATAGAATCAACTTTGGTTAAAAAGAAACTTTCAGTTATTTACTTACCATGGTGGCATAATAATTATGGTAGATGTAACATGTGTAGGACAAACTTAACATTTACATCAGATTGTCAAAAGTACTGTATAAATTGCTACATATTTTATATTGGATGCAGATATTGTTTAACAACTAATATTATTTTTGGACCTGCATGTCAATCCCAATGTAAAAAATGCAAAAGAATATCATCTATAAATATTGATTTTAATATTGATGATTTCATTTTTAATAATTTTATATATGATAATTTAAATAAATTAAATCTAACTGCTAAGATTACAAAAGCTTTAAAAAATATTGATAAATATTTTAAACCATCTTACATAATATTCTTTATCTTTAGAAAAAAAGATAGAATAAAAACAATTAAGTGGATACCATATTCTCAATTAACAGACGTAAAAGAAATAACAAAAGGAGGATATGGTATTATATATAAAGCAACTTGGTTAAGTACAAATGATAAAGGTGTCATTTTAAAGAGATTCGAAAATTCCAAAAACGATGGCAAATATTTTTTAAATGAGGTAAATATTTTAATTTTAATAATTTCTTATTAAATAAGTTTAATCCTTAACTTTATTTATTCTCTAATTTATAGTTAAAGTCGATACAGCATATTTTCTTAAGATATATGGGTCACGTTATTGAAACTTATGGCTTTACAAAAGATCCTAAATTAGGGGATTATATAATAGTAATGGAATATGCATCAAAAGGTGATTTACACAAGCATTTACAAAAGAATTTTACAAATATTGCATGGATTAAACAAAAACCGCTCATTTTATGGCAAATTTCAGAAGGGTATTTATATTTAAATTCATTAATTATATTCTTTAAATTTAGGTTATTGATTTTTTCTATTTTAGACTTGAAACTATACATAAAAAGAGATTTGTACATCGAGACTTCCATAGCGGAAATGTATTGTTTGACGACATATTTAGACGTAATCGCAGTAAAAATTGTCAATGGAAAATTGGAGATCTAGGATTATCACAAGCTATAAATAGTAAATCACCAAATAATGAAATATACGGAGTAGTACCTTATATTGCGCCAGAAATCTTTAAAGGATCTAAATTTACTAAGGAAGCTGATATTTATAGTTTTGGTATGATTATGTGGGAATTTACAACAGGTTGTAAACCTTTTAATAATGTTAAACATGATCACATTCTTATTTATAAAATTCTTGATGGAAAACGACCTAAAATTACAGAAGATACACCAGAATGTTATGCTAATTTGATGAAAAATTGTTGGGACCCTGATCCAAAAAAAAGACCTTCTATAAAAGAAATTCGATTAACCTTTGGTGGTTGGGCGTTTAGAAATAAAAATAAAGTAGAATTTAATCAAGCTGAAGTAAAAAGAAAGGAACTGATAAAATCAAAGAAGATTGGACCTGAATTTGCTGAAAAACGACATCCAGAAGCCATTTATACGAGTAGGCCATTAAGTGCTTTAATTTCTAAATGTTCATCCATCAATTCATCTTCAACAATTTCATCTGGTAATAGACAAGGTATTACTAAAAAAAGTTAAATATTGATTTATAAATATCATATGAATTATAAGTTATATGTTATATTCTTTTAGATTCCAATTATATCTCAGTTAATACAGAGTTTACAGATACTATTAGGTATTTAAAGTAACAAAATGTTTTTTTTGTTTTAAATGACATAACTAATTGTTTGAATTTATTATCAATTTATTTATTTAGTTTGTCATCACAAAATTTAAGTTCTACAAGTCAAAATTGTTTAAACTCTTTAGATTCTAAATATATCTCAGCAGAATTGGAACTTGATATAGATACTAGAAGGTATTTAAAATTACAATAAACAAATGATTTAAAGACAAAATTAAATTATTTAATTTATTAATTTTTTACTTAGTTTATCGTCACAAAATTTAAATTCTACGATTCAAAATTATTCAACCACTTCGAGTTCTAATTATATCTCGGCAGAATTGGAGTTTGATATAGATACTAAAAGGTATTTTAATAATATAACAATAAAAAAAAAATGTTTTAAAAGACACAACTAATTACTTAAATTTTTTATTTAGTTTATCAACGCAGAATTTAAGTTCCATAGGTCAAAATTTTTCAACCTCTTCAAAAAGGAGAAGAAATGAAGTATTTTTGAATATCGAAACTCATGGCAATAGTGGTAAGTAAATATTTATCTGACTCGGTGTTATTTATATTATTTATCTTTTGTTTTAACGTTTACGTCAACGTTTAATTTTTTAAATTTAAAAATATTAAAGTAGGAAAACGTATTAAAACTAGTTCCAATTATCCATAAAACTATAGAAGTTAAAATATTTCATTCTTCTGCTGCAGATACAGAGTATATGGAAATTTCAATAATTTTATCAGATTTTTTTCAAAGAAATTGGAATCCAGTTGTCCAAGATACTTTATTAACGCGTTTATATATAACAATTACTATTTTCATATTAAACTAGTGTTTCTTTAGGGTGTATACTACCACGCACGTTTATATTATGTTATTAATAAAAAAAATTGTGCTTTATAGAAATTTACAAAATTATGAAGCTGAAGCGAAAGATTAGAAATTTAGTAAGATGATGCACGATTGCATCTTTATACATTTATGGATCACATGAATTATTTATCACATGATTATCTCACAGCGATAGTTTAGTTTATTTTACCTTAGCAAATGATAATTTTATATTTGATATGATATTTGGTGATATTTTTTATTTTTATTTTTTCTTAATTATTTTATAATAAAGGATTTATATTTTTTAATGATAATTTCATTGCTGAAACCTGTGATTTTATGACATCGCCTCCACTATAGTATCACGTTGTTATTTTAGTAACGTAACAATGCATTGTACGTTAATACGAAATTGCAATACATCTACAATACTGTGATTGCGTTGTTTGATACATTGTGACAATATCATAAATATGGCTTTTTTTATATTAAAATTTTTTAAGTATTATTTTTTCATTTTCATAATATTGATGTTGAAAATGCGACTACAATGCTTATAATTGCATAGTAACGATGATGATGCTATATTATACTGAAATAATCAATTGTTTTATGCGCAGATATTTATACTTAAGTATCTCATGTAAGACAAAAAAACATAATAATAATTTCTTAAATATTTCTGAATGCCATGTATTTTTTTTATTATTTTATATTCCCCCTATAGGCACTAATGGATATACATATCAAAAATCAAATTTATTTTATGACAAGCAGGAAAAAAAAATCAAATTTTATTTTTATTTTTACTTAAGAAAGGTAGATACATTTGTGAGATACGAAGATACATTGAAATTTTACAAAAAAGTCATATGCACTATTGATCTAAAACTAAATGTACAAAATCCAACCGGCGGACCCACCTTCGAAAAAAAAATCAAATTTCGGGGCTTATTTATATGAAATTATGTATCACGTGATTAACGTGCAGATCAGCCCCCTTTTTTTAAAACTTTTTTCTTTCTCACTTTCCCTTCCCCGTCTTTTTCTCTTCCTCTTGTTTCATTCTCTCTAATAAAAATCTCTAGCGGAACGTTTAGCAACATTTTGAAATTTTCCTTATTGGACAAAAATCATTACATTATGCAATGAAAATTAAGAGTTCATAACGATTTTTTTTTTAAAAAAAAAAATAAGTATATTATAACTTAAATGACAAAATAACTTCGGTAAAAAAAATGGATGGAGAAAAATCTAGAGAATGAGTATATTCATTATTTTAAATATGATGAATTTAAAATCGATGAAGAAGAAATTGGTAGAGGAAGGGATATCAGAATTCCGGAAAGATTTTTTCTTTTTTTTCATCTTTATTTTTTTAATGAACGGTTCTAATGGTTCATTTTTTTTCTTTCTTTAGATGGTTCTTTCAAGTTACTTTGGGAGACATTTTGGTAAAGTTTTTTATTTATTTCTTCCATCTTTTAACAAACGGTTCCTAATAGTTCGTTTCTTTCTCTTTTTAGGCGGTTCTTTTGTATTTCTTGTGGTAAATTAAATTTTTTTTTTCTTTCTTTGTTTTTAGACAGGTCAGGCCTTTGGATGTGTGATATTTTTGACGGTTAGATTTTTCCTTTTTAAGTTCTTTCAAATTAAATTTTTTTCATTTTTATTTAACGAAACGTTTAACTAACATTCATCTTTTTCTTTTTTAAACAGTCATGTTCTTTTCTTTTTTTAGGTTCCACGTTTCAATACTTCTCTTTCAGATGTCCGAACCTTTTGATATGTAAGACTTCAGTGGGAACTATTTTTGACAGGAATTGTATTACTAATAATGAATAATTTAATAGTTAGCTAGCGTAATATGTAATATATAACATACGTTGTAAAAATAAATTACTACGTTTTGACTATATGTTTACAATAGTAAATAGGTATAGTGAAATCGTTTTTACGGTAAATTAAAAAAGCGTAGTGGCGATACATTTTCTCACTTTTGCGTCAATAACGACAACGGATGAATCACGTGATTTTGGCGCAGTGTCAACGTTGTTTAAAAATATGAAGTTTCTGCAATGTTATGATAAGGCAAGAAAATAACATTTTAGATTCTCGTAACTTGCATGCGTTAATTTTCCAAAATGAAAATTATAAATTGTTTGATGGTAATTTATATAAAAAATACGAATTCGCCGCTTTACAATATCATGCAAAATGATCCTCAAAGTGAAACTATTACTCGCTAGGACATATCTGGACTTTAATTAATAGAACGCAAATATATTTTTTTTTTTGCATGTTATTTAGGAAGCAAACCGAGGTCTTATGTTTGTAATATATTGGGAATTTGGGATAAATTACGTAATAATCGCACATATGATTAAATTGTTAAGTATTAACAAATAATGAAATTACTACGCAAAAATAAGTAAAATATTTTTAATTCACAAAAGGACGGCAAAAAAAAATTCTTTTTGTTATTTGGGTTAGTTTGAAAATAGACCTATTAATTTTGCGTATTCCTTTGTTTAATAATAACTTGCGTGATTTTATAAATTTACTATATTTAGTATAATTTACTACAGCGAAGCTTTAGAATAATCTGTACACTTTAGTTTGTCGTACAAATTTTTCTTAACCGTTATAGGAAAAAAAAAAAATATATATTGACCATTTTTATTTAAATAATGGTTTCGCTTTTTTTATGTTTCCTTTCTCGTTAATTTGTGCTCCACTTTTATTTTCACCATTTTCTTCTGTGAAATAATTACACCAAATAGCCTACATGCATCTTGACTAAATAGGTATAAATAATAAAGTTGATTAATTAATTGCATTATCGTTATGTCGATAAATACTAAATTTAATTGTGACTTTTCCATAATACCATGGTAAATTCTTAAAATTCCATGTGGAAATCTAGAAATACTTTCCGTATCATCAAAAGAATGTTCTTTTTAAAACTTCTGATAATGTATAATTCAGATATAAATACAGTACAGTTAAATTTCCATAACATATAGTAATTATCATAATAAAATGGAACTTGTAAATACGAATAATGAAAGTTCATTTGACCCAACACCAAGATTAAAATCTAGTCCTATACCGATTAAATTTATTTCTTTTAATGAGAATGATGAAAATTGTGTTTATTGTGGAGAAAAATATATTAAGGCGCTTTTTTGCTGGCAAAAATATTGCAAAAAATGTCTATCACGTTATATTAATGACATGAGTCAATTGAATCATGTAACTGATTATAATATATACTTGGACGTATATATTTACACAATGGACTTGGAATGTAGTGAACATGAAATAAGTAGGACAAAAGTACCACAAAATATTCAAGAATGCTGCGGAAATTGCTTGAGAATTTTATGCTTTAAACAAGTAAATGGTTATAATATTATTAATTATGATCCTGGTAACAACAATGAATACAATAAAGTAATTGAAAGTGAAAAAGATTGTAAATTATGTGGAAAATCATTATATCAAGGAACAGATGAAGATATTAAAGAACAATTTAAATTATGCTCAGATTGTTATATAATTTCTTCCGAATGTATAGAATCAACTTTGGTTAAAAAGAAAATTTCAATTGTTTACTTACCATGGTGGCATAATAATTCAACTTGTGACATATGTAATTCAAAGTTAACATTTACATCAGATTGTCAAAAGTACTGTATACATTGCTATCTATTTTATATTGGATGCAGATATTGTTTAACAACCAATATTTTTTTTGGACCTGCATGTCAATCTCAATGTAAAAAATGCAAAAAAATATCATCTATAAATATTGATTCTAACATTGATGGTTTCGCTTTTAATAATATTATATATGATAATTTAAATAAATTAAATCCAGAAAAAACTTTAAAAAATATTGATAAATATTTTAGACCAGTTAACATAATAGCCTCTATCTTTAAAAAAGTCCTTAGTATAAAAACAATTAAGTGGATACCATATTCTCAATTTACAGATGTAAAAGAAATAACAAAAGGGGGATATGGTATTATATATAAAGCAACTTGGTTAAGTAAAAATGAAAATGTCATTTTAAAGAGATTTGAAAATTCCAAAAACGATGACAAATATTTTTTAAATGAAGTAAATATTTTAATTTAATAATTTCTTATTAAATAAGTTTAATCCTTAACTTTATTTATTCTCTAATTTATAGTTAAAATCGATACAGCATTGTTTCTTAAGATATACTTGTCATATTATTGAAACTTATGGTTTTACAAAAGATCCTAAATTAGAGGATTATATAATAGTCATGAAATATGCATCAGATGGTGATTTACACAAGCATTTACAAAAGAATTTTACAAATATTACATGGAATAGTCAAAAACAACTTATTTTATGGCAAATTTCAGAAGGGTATTTATATTTAAATTTATTAATTATATTCTTTAAATTTAGGTTATTGATTTTTTTTCTATTTTAGACTTGAAACTATACATAAAAAGAAATTTATGCATCGAGACTTCCATAGTGGAAACGTATTGTTTGACTCACATAACAGTAATTACGATAAAAATTATCAATGGAAAATTGGAGATCTAGGTTTATCACAAGCCGTAAATAATAAATCATCAAATAATGAAATATACGGAGTAGTACCTTATATTGCACCAGAAATCTTTAGAGGATCTGGATTTACTAAGGAAGCTGATATTTATAGTTTGGGTATGATTATGTGGGAATTTACAACAGGTTGCAAACCTTTTGATAATGTTAAACATGATCATAAACTTATTTATAAAATTCTTGATGGAGAAAGACCTAAAATTACAGAAGATACACCAGAATGTTATGCTAATTTAATGAAAAGTTGTTGGGACCCTGATCCCAAAAAAAGACCTTCTATAAAAGAAATTCGTTTAACCTTTGGTGGTTGGGCATTTAGAAAAAAAAATGAAGCAGAATTTATTCAAGCTGAAGCAAAAAGAAAGAAACTGATAGAATCAAAGAAGATTGGACCTGAATTTGCTGAAAAACGACATCCAGAAGCCATTTATACGAGTAGGCCATTAAGTGCTTTAATTTCTAAATGTTCATCCATCAATTCATCTTCAACAATTTCATCTGGTAATAGGCAAGGTATTACTAAAAAAGGTTAAATTGTGATTTATATATCATATGATTTACGTTATACGTTATATTCTTTAGATTCTAAATATATCTCAGCAGAATGGGAACTTGATATAGATACTAAAAGGTATTTAAAAATAACAATAAAAAAATGATTTTAAAGACAAAATTAAATTATTTTAATTTATTAATTTTTTACTTAGTTTATCGTCACAAAATTTAAATTCTACGATTCAAAATTATTCAACCACTTCGGGTTCTAATTATATCTTGGCAGAATTGGAGTTTGATATAGATACTAAAAGGTATTTTAATAATATAACAATAAAAAAAAAAATGGTTTAAATGACCCAACTAATTACTTAAATTTTTATTTAGTTTATCAACACAGAATTTAAGTTCTATAGGTCAAAATTTTTCAACCTCTTCAAAAAGGAATAGAAATGAAGTATTTTTGAATATCGAAACTCATGACAATAGTGGTAAGTAAATATTTATCTGGTTCGATGTTATTTTATATTATTTATCTTTTGTTTTAACGTTTACGTTAACGTTTATTTTAATCAAATTTAAAAATATTAAAGTAGGAAAACGTATTAAAACTAGTTCCAATTATCCATAAAATAATAGAAGTTAAAATATTTCATTATTCTGCAGATACGGAGCATATAGAAATTTCAATAATTTTTTATCGGATTTTTTCAAAGAAATTTGTCCTTTAAGGGAAAAATCCAATCTTTTTTTTCATTTATATAGAGTTTGCAATTAGATAACGTTATTAACGCGTTTATGACAATTGCCTATTTTCATATTAAACGTGTTTCTTTAGGCTGTATACTACTACGTTTATATTATGATTACAAAATTATGAAGCTGAAGCGAAAGATTAGTTAGAATTTTAGACCCGGTGACACAAGATGCCCCGTTTCACAGTTTGATTGGTTCCTGATCTTGCTTATCCATTCCGTTATAGACACTATACATTTATGGATCACATGAATTATTTATCACGTGGTTATCGCACAACGTTTCCTAGTTTTAGTATTTTTATTTTACCTTAGCTAATGATAATATTATTTTTGGTGATATTTTTTATTTTTATTTTTTCATAATTATTTTATAATAAAGAATTTTTTTTTTAATTGTATTTTTTTTTAATGATAATTTATGATAAAGCAAGAAAATCAAATTTTTAGATTCTCGTAACTTGCATGCGTTAATTTTCCAAAAATGAAAAAACTTTATATAAATATGACTAGAAAATTTATATTTTATTATAACTAGAAATTAATATTAAAAAAGCCACATTTTTGGATAAAATCAAAAAATGCCTAGCTCAATATATATAAATAAACGTAATCCGTCATGATGCATTAATCATTAATGCACCAAATTTAGGTTAAGGTGATAAAGAAAAAATATATGTCATTAGCCGATTAACACTGAAACGCGTTAGGCTGATCATCACCTTTTAATTCGGAAATAATCGGGACATGATTGGTCATTGCTATTTTCTATTTTCTATTTTTTTATTTTTAGGAATGAAATTATTTAAATAATAAACTTTATATCAAAATAAAAGATTGTTTCTGAAAATAAACTAAAAACCAGTATTCATCATATCGATATATTATCCTAAAAGCGTAAATTGGGCGTATTAGAATTAAATTAAATTTAGAATGTCGCAATCAACTCATGAGTTACACAAATGAGTTACACAAATGAGTTCTTTTTGAGTTTACCTGGATAGATTGGAAAATTCATTCGGGTTTCTTCATATTAAAAGTTCTTTTATTCTTTACTTTAATATTTTAATTAAGTTTTTATTTTAAAAAAGAATAAATACATAAATTACACTTGAATAATTGTACAAATCGTTAGATAGTTGTATCACGTGATCTCGCTCACAAGTAATTCATTTAAAAGCCCATTTTTTTTACCGATAAAGTGCTCGGAATTCGTCTCGAGATTTTTATTTCAATTTACTTTTTGTTTTCCTTTTTTCCCCTTGCATCCAAAGAATTATAATAATAATAATAATAATAAATCGTAAACTTTTTTTTCGTTCACAAAAAAAATCGGAATTTTATAAAAAAAAAATATAATATATATAACTACGATCAAAAACAACGACAANAAAAAAAAGTTTTATTAAATTTTCTCGATATTCGAACATTATTTTTTTTTAACGTTATTTTTATATAAAAAATTATTAGTCTGACGGTTATAATAATTCGCTACGATCATCAATAATGTATAAGAAAGCTCCATTAATAGCGTTTATTCTACTATTTCTTATAATAATAGATATAACAAATTCACTTCCTGAATTAACTTATCAGGAAACAGAACCAAACTTGTTAGCACTTTATGGTGATTCATTTACTGATGGTAGTCTAATCCTCCGTTTTGTTAAACAATCTCAATTAGATAATTGTTATGAACCAACATTATATTTAAGATTAGTAAAACCTGACGGTAATGTAAAAAAGTTAGAACTTAATGACATACCTCAAAATAATTTTTGTAGAATTATTTCATTAGCTGGTACTCCATTTCATAAAAACGAACGTCATAATAAATTATACAACAACAATGATGATAATAAATATGGTGGAAACGACAATGGAGAAAACGATAATAATGGAGGAAACGACAATGTTGGAGGGAAAATTGATGATTCTAATAACGGAGTAAATAATAATCGTAGGGACAATAACAACAATAATGGTAATGGGAGTCCCAATAATGGAAGACCAGCTGCGCCTGCACCAGCAATACCTCCAACAAATAATTTGTTAGATAATATCACTGTACTTGCATTATCAAAAAAATACGTTCTTCTTACATATTTTTGTAATTTACCTACGTCAAATGAATTATGTGGCAGAATTATAGATTTTAACGGTGTAACAAAAAGGTAAGTGACGCTTATTAAAAGCTTATTTCATTACTTTTTTAACTAACCATTTATTTATTCTCGTAGCATGATAACGTTTAATGATTTTAATGGTTCATGTACAAATCTTAAAATTACTAAGAGTTCTTACGATGATGGTGGATTTTTATATACCTGTTATAAACAAGAAACTAAATCGATAGAATGGATAACTTACTCAGCACCGTAAGTCCAAATTTTTTTTTTTTTTTTNTTTTTTTTTTTTTCAGAAAATATAAAATATATGACACGAAATAATTTTACGCTTTCTAAATAATTTAGAAATATTATCGATGATTCGATAACAGAAAAATATAGCGGAGAGATAGGAAATATTACGAGATATGACTTGACAAATATATTTTCGACAGAAGATAGAGGATATTCAATTGTAACAGGATATTTCGATAATATAGATAATGTACAAAATACATTACCACAATGGGTAGTAACGGCAAATTTTATTACAAATGATGGACAAACTAAAGGATCTTATTTAATTTACTCTCAAGAAGTGGGTACGATAAAAACGCTAAGTATACCAAGATGTAATATTGCGTATCAATTGTATGGATATAGTTGTGTATTATATATCGAAACTAACGAAAGAACGTTTATAAATGTTGATTTCACATCAAAAGGGGCTGTATTGAATTCACAAATGTTTAGTGTGAGCCAATTGAACGATGTTAATACTCAATTATATGATATTAGAAATCTTTATAAGGGTGGGGAAGTTTTCATTATTACTACATCAGATAATAATATATCTGGATTTGCGTATAGTAATGATGGAATGTACAATAGTACTTGGGCTTTACCCAATAATTATACTTATACTAGAAAAATTTATGGAATAAATACTGATAATACTGTTTGGGCTATTGCTGATAAGAGTAACAACGCCATTGCTACGAACCAATGGACTATTGTATATTCAACTGCTTTAACGACATACTCAACAGGTAAAGGAAATATATGTTATTATAATAAAAAAAAAATTTTATTTAATAAAAAAACATTTTTTTTAGTTCTAGGTGATGCAGGATATAGTTCATCGTCAATATTATCGATAATACCGGGAAAAAATGCAGTAACAACACCGGATCTTAATCAAATTACAATAACATATGTAATGAACAGCATTGAACCTTCAACAGGTTATATTACAATTAGTCAAAAGAATGCAAATGAAGGTGATGATCTTATTAGAATCAAAATACCCGCAAAATCACCTCCAATTGGAACTGTAAATAATGTTATAATACACGGATCTGTAGTGAAAGTTACATTAGAAGATGGTATTTTTGATAGAGAAAATGCTACGTATATTATTAAAATTGACGATGATTTTGTTCAAGCTAACGGACAAAATTTAATTGGAGATTCTTGGGAAATTTCGACAGGTAAATTTATGATTTTATTTATTTATTTTATTTTTTATTAAATAAATTTAACTGATTTTTTTTTTCAAAAAATTTTTTTAGCTTCTGGTTATAGAAAGAATGAACCGGGTAATTTATTTATCTCGCCAAATCACGTGATTTGTACGGCAAATTATCTCATTTTTTTTTTTTTTTTTTTTTTTGAAAAGGTGACGCGAGAGCATCTATTCTTTTAACCCCAGACGGAACAAGAAATTATTTAGAAAATAAAAATAGTAGAAAGACATACGTTGATGATTTGTCTAATGAAATTTCAGATGCGCTTGCAATTGAAAAAGGACGTATTTTTATACCGTATGATAGGTATCAATATATGAAAGACGCACGTAAAGTTCAAATATTGTTACGTGTAGATATTAAAGACACGAAATCACCAGATCAACCAAGCTCAACTGCGGTAAGAAACAGTTTAGATAAAGCCATTATATCCAAAGGTAATTCAGCTATACCAATAGGACCGCGTACAAAGGATTTAGATTCCACTTATGGAGCTCCGGAAACTCGTAAGTTTACTATATAATTTTTTTTGGGAGAAGAATCATTTTGCTTTATTACTAATATGTATGTTATTAAATTAGCTCATTTATGGCGTAAATATAAATACATATTAATCGCGGTCGTAATTGTATTATTTTTACAACTATTATTATCATTCTTTTCGAGAAAGAAATTCTCTGGAGGAAGAAATTTCTTGACTATTGTCTTTTTCCCGCTTATTTTAGTAGATTTTGTATTAGATACTACTATATTAGCAATTCATGGAAAGGATCTGATGTGGTTCTTTATTTGCGGGTGCATATTTTCCCCTTGATTTTCTTTCTATAATATTATATTTTAATGTACTAATATACTTCTTTTGTTTTTTTTTCACTTACATTTATTTAATTACAGTTGGATATTTTATTTAGTACCAATTTTATTCAATGTCATAATTTTATGGTTACTTATTAATTATCGATTAAATTCATCAGAAACTACTAAAAATTGGTTAAAGAAAAATCCAAATACTGCATTAATATTTACACTCTTATCATGTATAGATTTAGAAGCGTTAAATGTTGTATCATCAAGATGTGCTGGTTATAACGAATTAAATGCAAGATTTACAGAAAAAGGAAGAAAAAGTATTTTAATAACTATTATTATTATAACATTAATTGAGGATGTACCACAATTAATAATTTATTTAATATATCAAAGATATACAGTTATAACAACAATTTTATCAATATTAGCATTATCATCATCATGTTTAATATTATTATTTAAAATAATTTCATTTATTTATTTAATGTTCATTTATAAACCTCATAAAACTTTATCAAGTGCAATAGAAAAAATTGATGATTCAAATAATGATACAGCTAATCTGGAAAGTGGTGAAGGTGATATACTTAAACCTGAAACTACAACTGATCGTCAAAATGAAGAAGTAACTGTACTTGGAAATATTGGTATATCGAGCGAAACTTATATTGATGATAATGATGACAAAATTTCGGCAACAAAGGAGGAAATTACCGAGGGAGAATCATTATCTGGTAATATTCCTGGAAATAAATCTCGCACAAATAAACGAACTACTGAAGAGCAAATCACTGAGGAAGAAACTACTAAAGAATGTGAAGAAATTATCACAACTACTACCAGAATTATACAAAAGAAGAAAGTGGTAATAATAAAGAAATAAACCTTACTGTAGGATTTCCACATTACAATCTGAAATCACTACAGATACTATAACAACCGAAAATGGGGATACCACTTTTACCAAGTAAGAAAATTAAAAGGGAATAGGAAATGGGATAGTTTCTCTTCGAGTAGTAAGTAGTACAATGGACAATAATTTAAATAAATAATGGGAATTTGTAAATGTAAAATAGAAATTAGAAATATTAGTAATAATTTAGCATAATGAGTTTATTATAATATCATTTATTGTATAGCCATTAGCGTGTTTAAATTATTAGAGTTTTAGTAAATAGATTGTTAAATAGTATATTATTTTAATAATTTGCATTTTGCATTGCTGGAACTGCAGATTCTACTGTATATTACTAATAAAATTATGTATAAATATCATCGGATTTTACCAATTAAATATTATTTTTATTTTTTAAGTTGTGAAAAAAAAATGTTACAAATTTCAAAACCTCTTAAATTATTCCTATAATCTAACGTTAACGTTAAAGTATCTGAAAATTTTGTTAACATTGACGCTAAAGCTCCGATTGAGCCAAGCCTTTATGTGGCTTGGCTTGTTTCAAGCTGGAGTCGAGCCGAGCCGAGCTAAATAAAGCTAAACTCGAGCCGAGCCAAGCTCAAAAATTTTTTTCGAGCCGAGCCGGCTCGAGCGGCTCGGGCTCGAAAAAATTTTAAAAAATTTCAAGATGCGTTAATTTTAGCTATCTAAGCAGATTATCATTAACATTGCTTTATTGAAATAATTCTAATAAACTACAATTTGTAATTTTCATCTATTAAAAGACATTTACCAATTACCAACTTATTTTATTTATTTATAATTTATTTAAAATGTTTTATTTTATAAATCATTTATTTAATAATTACAGATGGGCAAAATCCTGACCTCTACCAACCTTGAAACACATACATTGACGAATAGTTCCACTCTTAAGATTGCAACGGTTTTGCACAACTAAATCAGTTCCTCCATTTTAAAAAAAAATTAAATTTCATCCTGGATCAAAAAATTTCTCTCGGAATTAGTTTGTACTTCAATAATCTCATAATTATAATTCGACTGGATTAGGATATTTAATCTAAAAAATTTGAATACAAAAACTACGTCTCATATATTTCCTGTACAGTCGCTATATGTATATTATTGTCAAGATTTTGTAATGAATATATTGTTATTTAAGAAGCTTCTTAATCTTGTAACGAACACGATGAATTGATAGAAATTTACAAAATGTTGCATAATTAAATATTGGAGTTTTGAAGTCCATTTTTATATAAAATTTCTTTAAACTCGTTAGCAATTAAGATACTAAAATTCAAATTCTATTTCTCTAAAATATTCTCACTGAAACCTTACCCCAAAGACGTTTAACTAATATGCAAAATTTTTTATCTTCCAAGTATTCAACAATATCTTTCAAAAAAAATCAGCGGAATTTGGGACATTATTGTTATGTTATAGGCACAGGAATACATATACTGATATAGTTTAACAATAATAAATTTTAGTTTCGAAAAAAGATTAATCATCGATCACGTCAAAGTTGATTGGATACATATCACGTGCTTGTAGACCTTTGCCTTAGATTTATTTGTAATTCTTGGATGATTATTTAATCAACCTAAAAATAAAAAATAAGAAATTGTAAAACGAAAATTTTTTTTTTTTTATTATAATATTCCATATGATTTATTAAATATATTAACTACAAAATTTATTTATTAATAAATTTTTAATAAAAAAAAAGGTCAACTCTTACATCAGTTATTACAAATTCCCGTATCTACGCTTGCAAACGCTACGACTGTTAATTATCTTCAGTCTTCACCACCCACAACGATAGCATTCTCTCTGCGCTACCTCCTTCAGGGCAAACATAAACTTTAGCAGCAGTAAATAATGCGATTTCATTATAAGAGATTATTTTTATTTTATAAATAATACATATAATTTCAATTGATTATTTTATCGTGATTTTTTTTACAATGTAAACAATATTATATAATAATAAACAGTTGAAATGTTAATGAAAATTTTTTAAAACTGTAATTTATTGCAAATACTAAATTTGAAATTTGTTACATATTAAACAAATAACAAAAGTCTAACATACCAATCCTTTACTGTAAAGTAAAAAGCGGAATGAATGGAATCTAAAAAATATAAAAAATAGTAAAATGGGTTAGAAGACTCGAGTACTCTAAGTAAGCTTTGCGGAAAAGACAAATTCAAGCCCCCATGCCTACTATCAACTGACATTAACGTATATCGTGAGTGATCAAACTCGTGCAGAGGTACTGTCACATTGATAATAAGACATGAGACCCACCACCAAAGGGACGGGCCCCACATACAGAAGTCTGCGACATAGCTTGAGATATACTGATACAGTATTATTTTTCTCATTGAAGGTAACCAGACTACTAGAAGAGGAGGATAACCAAAGCACTCTAGGTGCACTAGTCCCTTATACATCCCAGCTTAGCCATTTCCACTTACCAGAATAATGGAAAATATTATCATTGTCTATTCAGGTTTGACGCTTATTCCAATATTTTCTTTAACGTTAAGTTTTCGCTTTTAGAAAAAATAAAGGAAAGAAAGTGTTCATAATTACTTTTAAACAAATTTTTTAGTATGTTTTTCGTCGTTTGTTTACTATAGTTTTCTTTGAAGAAAATAACGAAAATATTTAACGAAAATAAGAAAGTTTCGACGAAACTTTTTTTTGACTAGGAGTGACCGAAAGACTTGAGATATTTTTGTTTCTGAGCAAGCGAAAAGTTAAAAAAAGTGATAAGGAAAGAATATTTATTTTTATTTATTTAAATATAAATACTTAATAAGTACGAGTGCAAGTACAGAAAAAAATAAAAAAAAGTGCGAGTGAGAGTAAATAAAAATAAAAGAAATTTCGTGTAGACTTTTTATAGAATATTTCATGGGAAAATTTGACGTGAATCATTATTAGCAAAACTGGTTACTGATCATAATCACAATTTTAGGTTCCGATGCATGATTCTTCTTATGAGTCATTTGATTATTTATTATTGTTGCTACACTAAAAACAAATGGTTATATTACTATATTAAAAATTATAATAAAACAAACATAACGTCACCACCACATCACGGAACAAAATGGATTTTTTAAAAGTTTAATTATTGACTATGGAAATATGGAAACATTATTGATTTACTCAATTTACTTATGTCATATCAGCTCTTTAACTTTACAAAAATAATGTTAGAACGTTTCAATATAATTTCTCACAAATAGTCACGAACAATTTGGTGAACGGATAAAATATTTAATCATAAAAAAATAGGTGTAATTGTAAGAATATTTAATAAATTATAATACATATCCTACAAAAATAATGGACATAATCCAAATATTTCCGTTATATCTATGGAAATTTTCTCCTAATTGGTTTTTTTTTTGTAAATGATAACAGGGATTTTTATTATAGTAACTAACAAACTGAATATTTAAAGATGACTGTTTTTACATAATTTTCGAAAAAAATAATTACTTATTTCAACCCGAGAGAACTCTTTCGTTATAGACAAAGTTAAGCGAGAATTTTCAAAACTCCATAAAATAAAATATTTTGATCAAATTAATAAGTAATCAATTCTATATAAAATTTTTAATGAACAAAGAAAATATTTAATAATCGATAATAAAATAAAAATTACTTATAAATTTTAAAATTATTGACTTAAAAAGTTATTTATTAGTTATCAGTGTATTTCTTTAAGATAAAAGTAAAATTCTGAATCTTTTAATAAAGGAGAATAATTTCTCCAATATATTTTTTTAGAGAATTCATATCAAAAATTATAACCGTTTACCGACGTATCGATAATTCAAATTCTTAACCTTCATTCCTATTTAAGATACCGATATATATAAAGGATGACGTTGTTTATTATGTTCCAAAGTACGTTTCAAGTCCCCATAATATGAGTAACTTGATTTCATTATTCTAAATATAAATACCGACCGATAATTTTTAGTAATTGAAACATCAAAATACTATGGAATTAAAAATCAGTAGTCTGCTTCTTAGATTTTCAAACTGTTGCATGCCAAATTTGTAAAATATGAAACTAATAATATGAAAACTTGAAATCTCGGATTTCAACTCAATAGAAAAACTAAATTCTAATTCCTTTATTATTTTTAAATTTTTTATTTTGCTACTCCTGTAGATCTTCAGATGATGCGGAAATCCTTTTCTATTTAATTCGCAAAGTAATTTTGTAAATTACCTATTTTGGAAGTGACTTCAGGCGGCGTAATTAATTGTGTACTACCGTATATTAATATTTAAATTAAACCCGTTTCTGAAACAGTTTTAAAAAAAACTTTTTTCTTTTTTTTTTGTTTTTTTTAAAAAAAAATGGCTACTCAATTTTTTTCGAAATTAAGTCAAAATTATATTGAATTATTAAAAGATGATGAATATTATGATATCACAATTGAAGTTGGCGAAGATCCCAACGTAAAAATATTTCGTGCCCATATGAATATTTTGTGCTATCGTTCACCATATTTGCGACGAACTTTGGATTCAAACAAAAAGAAAAATGATAATGTCTTGGCTCATATTAAACTATCAAATACATCACCAGAAATCTTCCAAATAGTTTTAAAGTAAGTTATATCATATTGAAATATACATAACATTGAATATACAAATTATAACTTTTATTTTTATGGCAGGTATATTTATGGTGGTATCCTTTCATTAGATAATAAAAATACTTCGGATTTTCTTAAAGTATTGGCTACTGCAGATAAGCTTATTCTTCAAGAACTAGTTGATTATTTACAAGGATATTTAATTGAAAATGAGTCCGAATGGTTGGAACAACATTTTGAATTTACTCAGCAAATTAGTTCACAATCTAATAATTTATTAAAACTTCAAGAATTTTGTACAAATTTAATGGTTCGGTCTCCAGAAAGAGTACTTAAATCATTAAGTTTTACTTCACTTTCTGAAAAATCTTTAATTTCACTTATTGAAAGCAATGATTTACAAATGAAAGAAATTGAAGTATGGGAACATGTATTAAAATGGGGTCTTTCACAAAACCCAACTCTTAATCCAGATCCTAAAACTTGGTCTGATAATGATTTTAAAACAATGAAAAATACTCTCCATAGTTGTTTACCTTTGATTAGATTTTATTGTTTATCATCAAAAGAATTTTCACAAAAAGTTCGTCCATTTCAAAAACTTTTAAATGAACAACTTTATGAAGAATTATTAAATTTTTATTTGGATCCTGATAGCGTATCATCTCAAAATGCTCAACTTCCTAGAAAAATTAAAATTAATGAAAACATCGAAGTTATTTGTTCACGAATTGTTAATTCTGGTATTGTTTCAACAATTTCAAGATGGATAGATAAAATAACTATTGATGATAAAAACTTTAATGTATCATATTTACCATATAAATTTGAATTATTATTAAGAGGGAGCCGAGATGGATTTACCCCTAAAAAATTTCATGAATTATGTGATAATAAACCTAATACCGTTACATTTATCAAAATAAAAGGAACAGAAGAAATTGTTGGTGGATATAATCCGATAACATGGGAATCTTCTGATAATTGGGGTAAAACCGAAGATAGTTTTATTTTTTCTTTTAAAAATAAGAATAATTTTAAAGATTCAATTTTAAGTAAGGTAATAGATCCTTGTTATGCATTTGCTAATCACCCTATATGTGGACCAAAGTTTGGTCATGATATTATTATATATGCTCAAGGTGCATCTGCAAATTATAATGTCGCTCAATGTAGTAAGCGTCATTATGAAAAAAAGATACGAGATAGTAAAGATATCTTTAGTATAGAAGATTATGAAGTATTTCGAATAATAAAGAGATAAATGTAATATTTAATGAATGAATTTTATTTAATACAAAAATATAATAAAAATATTTGTAACATTTTAACGAAGAAATAATTATTTTATCTGCGTAAAAAACTTAAATTAGTTTTATTTTTTGTGAAATAATGTGTAATAAATAACCGTGTAAATAGCCATAAGGTTAAATAGAAGGTTAAGATATCAAAAATTTTACATTTAAAGCGTAAGAGAATGTATTTATTTCAATCCAAATATACTTCTCATTGATTAGAGTTTAATTTTGAATGCAGCGAACTGTCATCTGGGACTTTCATTTCAAATTTTACAAACGACTGCTGCTTTCAATAAACTAATATAAAATATAATAAAAAAAATTTTAAAATTATAAAGATATCGAAATCTAAAAATGATATTAAAATTAATGAGGATCAAATTAGGAATATTTAAGTCCAAAAATAAAATCGATGACCAATCAGTGAGAAACAATGGTATATACCGAAATCAAATTACTTCTTCCTGATATTACTGACGTGAATTTGCGTAAAAGAACTTTCAAAGCTAAAAAAATCCATACATTGTTTGAAGGAATACAAATAGATAAAATTAGGCAAATAACTTATAGTGCGAATGCTATTATAAGCCTAAAAGTTAGCTAGATTCAAAATATTATAAACCCTTTCCTTAAATTAGATAAATGCCAAAACAAACCGCGCACGTGACTAAAATTCTGATTCACCGGTAAGTGTCTCAACTACACCTATTACTTTGCCTCGAACATCTTTCCCCAACTCTTTCGGCGAAAAATTACCCGATGTAAAGGTGAATACATCAGTCACATCTCAAGTAAGTATACCATCAACACCTCAGGTAAGTAAATCTGACAAATCCCCTTCCGGTTTCTATTTTATCTGATGATCCAGAAGAGAAGCAAGAATCCGTTATTAACAAAGTGCTAAAGCGGTTTACAGTGAGAATTTTAGCGATAATTTTGTGTTTAATAGTTCAGTACCTTGTCATATAATATGTAATAAAGACCATAAAAACGAAAATGTAAAGAATGGTATAGAGGGTCAATGGGTTGTGGGGGTATTTTGGAGAACGAACATATCGTCTTAAGTGTTGGGAGGCTTATCAAAATGGCATCCAAATAGTAAGTGTGAAAGCATAGAGCGAGGCCTTCATGTGAATCGATCACCTGAAAAATGCGCAGTACTGTTATGCAGTAAAATGTTGCGCAGTAATCACATGATATAACTGGACCGTGATGCCGATCAATAACTTCATCACTTTGTCACACCCCGTCCGAGTTTCACTGTTTATATTTATCTGAGGGACGTTTTTTTTTCGAGTAGGTAAAACCTTATTCATCACACCTTATTCGTCACTGTTTATTTTCACGTGTTAGTGCATAATGCCGTAATGCGGCCCTGTGTGCAAAATTTTGCCGGTGCGACTGGGGTAGTTGTGTGGTAAAAGGTCCCCTAAAAATTACATAATGTTAATCACCTTTATTTAATAAATACGCCGAGAATTCGACAGAGTTTCAAATCTAATGAGTAATGATAATCATTTTTCTGTGTACTGATAAATTATTTTTTTTTCTGTATTACGTCATTACGTCACAAGAGTCTACCAGTAAGGTATATAAAGTATAAATACTCTCAAACTTTTTTAAAAAACTAAACTTTTTCCTTTTTTTATAAAATCGCAATTTTCAGTAACAAAATGAACAAATTGGAATTGTCCCTAAATTGTTTGATTCTAGGTCAAACTTTGAGTAAATGTTTCTGCGTAGATATTGGCGAAATAAATTTAATTGATAATGGATTTGAAGTCACATTTGCCGATTTTAAAGTTTCACATTTAATAGATAAGATTTTTCTTCGAAAAAATTTAATTCAAGACAAAAATGAAATGGATATTCATAAAGTTGATAGCAAGAAGGTTAATGATGAAAAAAATAATCTTAAAGGATTTACCAAAGATGATATCAAAAATAAACTAAATGGTGAGTTGTTGACGCCTATGCTCAAGCTTACGAGTTGTTTTAATACTGAAGAAATGGATCAAGAGGGCATTAATATCTTCATAGTCCTCACCCCCACTGGTAAGGTGTCTCCCAATGTTTTACCTCTCAAGAAGAACGAAATATCAATTTTGATCTGACGTCATTTTTTTCTCGCGTTAAAGCAGGTCCTTCACGAGGCGTTGCGCAAGGTACTGTATTTCTCGTTAAATAACTTCGAGTATCTATTGGTTTGGAACGATGTCAAAAAACTTTCTAACAAATCTCTTACTTATTATTGATTCTAGGACCTAACTGGCGCAATACTTCTTCTATCTACGAGTGGATACAAGAATTCACACTGAACCGTGGTAATAGCCGAGTATGTCTTACTAAATTTATCTTTTCAATTATGTGTTTTTTAGCTCCTCTGGCTAAAATCATATTGACTTTTTCAGCTCGTCAATACCTATGGTAAAAACTTTGAACTTTATCAACGGGAAGACACAATCGAAACCCTATGGAAACTGATTAAAGAACGATATCCATATCGTAATGATGACGACAAAGGCAATCATCCAATCCCCGTTTTAGCCGGTGGACCTGGAACTGGAAAAAGCAGATTTCTTGATGAAATCGAAAGATTGCTTTGGCGTTGTATCAATGAATCTGATGAGGAAATCCGTAATGGTTTTGCAAACATGGTCGTCATAAACACCACTTATGGGAATGGATCCCCTGCTAGTAGTCATGATTCAAGAATTATTGGTAGCGAGTCAACAGAAATAATTAACGGCCAGGCATCTTTTGCGTTGCGTATTCTATTTGAGTACTTCCAACCACAAAACGAAACTGGTGAACTCTCTTTTCCCCAATTTAACACACTATGTAGTAAGAAAGCTGTTGACTTTACTCTAGACACTGCTCTCCGAGTTATATACGCTGACTTTATTAGTAAACAAAGGAAGCAAGAAACAAGTTCTTGTCCTCCACTAGTCCTGGTCATTGGAATCGATGAGTTCAACAATTTGCACGATATACAAAAAGGAGCCTGTAAAGAACTTATAAAAACTATTGGAGGAGTTATGTGTAAACCACCTGCAAACATTTTTTTCATTCCCATCCTAGCTGGAACGATTGAAGGGGCCATAAGTGATTATATTTCAGGTTCTATGCACGAACCAATTCTCCTCCCACTACGCTTACTTAATAATGATGATGCAATTAGCATTGGTAAGAGGATGAATCTGTTTGATGATGATTATGTCTGTCGGAATCCATATTTTCGAATCAGCATTAGTGATGTTGGAGGACATGTAAGAACATTGGAGTATTACTACAGTAATTTTGCGAAACAGAAAGATGACAAGATGAAACTAGCGACAGAAACAGAAACAGGAGAGACAGGTCTTTATGACGTGAATATTGGAAAAGTCATGGAATACGTCAAACATAAGATTGTAAATAAATATCAAATTAATAGATATTCAAGTCATTTGTCAGTACCTCTCGCAAAGGCCATATTGGGCTTTCCGGTTGGTAAAGTGGATGCTGTTAAAAAAGAGAATGTGAAAGACGAAGGAAAACATCAAACACATCAAACCTATGAGGAACTTGTTTCAATGGGACTTATTAACCTGGTTCCGGCAGGGGAAAAATACCTTATTCGTTTACCTTACCTATGGGTATGTGCAATCGCTGAATGTTCCTCTGACCCTGATTTGTCGAATTGGAAATCCATGTTACAATATGATGATCCGATTAATTGGCAGAATTTTGAGGATTTTAATGCCAAATTCTTGGCATTGCGCCTCGCTCTTTTTCGTTTACTAGGATATGAGGAAATTATTTTGAAGGAATTTTTAAAGGGTGCAGATTTCTCGCATAGTTTTCCGGATGTTAAAGTTGTATTACCTGAAACTAGAAATATCAAATTGTACAAATTATTACATCGATATCCAGGTATTAAGTTTTGCAGATTTTCGTATAACATAAAAAGTCGCATCAAATTCAAACCCAAATCTAATATAATTTAGTCGCTAAAACTTACAAGAATCAAGAAGCGAAATATGAAAACTTGAAAGAAAAGAGAAATGGTTATTTCGACCTTGATTTACTGCAAAATGATGATATCAAGAAATACACTGGTTGTGTCTTTCTTAATGTGTCTGGAGCACCTTGGGATGTCTTTGGGCTTCTTAAATGTGGAAGTTCAGAGTCTGAAATTTGTTGCGTAGCTCAGCAATTGAAACTAACTACTACTACAAATGTTGTCATCGATCAAAAGTTATTTAAAAATGAGCATAAAAAGGTAACAACATTGCTTTCTATATTAAGTACACATACGAATCGTTAAAATTGTTAGGCTAACAAATATCTTTCTTATGTAAAAGGTTATTAAAAATATGGAGGAAGTTGACACAAAAAATTGGGTTTTGTTATTCTTAACAAACGCAGACCAGAAAGACAACCTCTCTGTAAGTGATAGTCCGAATAGCGCATTAGTATCCATAGAAAAAATGCAAGAATTTTATGGATATACATATGCAAGTCGAGCACAATTTGCGTCTGGTATGTTTGCAAAATTCGGAATTTCTTTTCTTTTATCATACATAATATCTGAAACTGCACTATTCTTTTACCTTAGCAAACGATAAAATATACTTTAATTCAGCACCTGTTGAATCACTCAAACTTATTGGATTTAGCGATAAAGATAACGTTTATATACGTATTGAACGCAAAAAACGCCCCTTCACTAGTCTGAATGATATAAAAGAAAGGCTCGACATTGAAGAAGATAAATTTAAGAAGTTAAAGTTTGATAGAGTTGAATTTAATTAAATAATCTCGAAAATCATCTATATTTAGCAGTATTCCCTTTTCTGATGTACTGCTGTAATCTAGAGAAAATTAAACTTATATGAATAATGACTGCAATACCGGTTTAAATTTTCTGAAACTTAATTATTGCTAATATAAAATTGAAACTGACTCTAGCTAAATTAATTTATGATAATTAAAAATAACGGAGTAGCAGACGTTTAAGAGAGAAACATCTCGAGCCAAGTAATAAACAAATGTATTGTTACACTCTGTTGTTGTTTAATGAAAAAAAAATTAGAGATATAATAGTTGAATAAATAGTAGTTTAACTTTTTTCTATTTCTCTACTTCATTTTTAAACAAAATGGTAATAAATTCATAATTATGTAGTATGTATTTGGCACTTTCGAAATTCATAAAAGTAGTATGATAGTAGTTGATGCTTTTTCCAAGACTTCGTGTAACAAAAAAATAAAATAAAATGCACTTAGCACAAAATCCCATGGTAAATATTTCATTGAGTCAGCGTATCACAGACATTGCTTTAGTTTCACTAAGCCGTTTTATACCAGTAACAAATACTAGTGTCCATCTTTGACAGAAACATATGTAAAACAATCAGAGACAACCGGTATTAAACAACGAGTCCACAATTAATGCCTTGAGATAATATACGTACTGCTCAATGGCTGTTTTTTCTTTGTACTAAAATACACTCCAAAAAAATAGACATAATCCGAAAATGATAATATTTTTAAAAACGGGTTCTGAGCACGCATTCATTGAATACAAAAGGTTATGGCTGACTTACAGTATTCTATGTATAACAAAATCTATGTAATATTATCTATTACGTTTAGAGGGATTTCATTTGAATTTCACCTTTTACATTCCTTTCATGTTATGAGTAAGTGTAAAAAATTATTGACTAATCGTGATGAGAAGTATTATTGAACGGGATCATCTAATTGCGAGAAAACACTTTTTTCTCATGCAGGAAGCGGTTGAAACTAGACTTCCTCCTGAAGAACTATGCAAAACTTAGGTCAAATACCTTCATGTAGGAAGATAAAAAATTTAATAACTCTGTTACAAGATTAATAGGTATCGATTGAATATGATGAACAATGTTTATCCAACAAAGTTATCTTCTAGAACATGATGAAGGTGGACCTAAACGTAGAGGTACGGATATGAACTGGAGCCCTGAAGTTTATAACATTAGAGAAGTTTGTGTACAAAAAAATCATCCGGTCCTTTATAAGTTACTTGATGGACCTGAACGTAGATTCGTAAGGGAGGAACTTTTACTTGTTAATGAAGGGGTTGAATTACCTCCTAAGAAATATCTTTTGTAAATGGATTAAGTAACCGAGATGTATAAATAGTTTGTGAATGAGTAGTTTGTTCATTTTCTTCAAGGAAGGTTGAGTGTCTGTTTTCCTCAAAATAAGTTAATTGTCTGATTTCTTCAAAAGAAGTTGATTTCTTATTTTCATGAAGACGTGATATTCTGTAATCTTCTGCTTCTTTAAATTGTTTTACAATTTCGTAGTATTGTTGATCTTTGTCAATTTTCGTAGAATAATTAAATTTTGATACATTATCGCCACATGTGCCAATAAATAAAAAAATTAATTCTTTTATTTCTGTAGCTTTCGGCATATTGTCTGGATTTTAATCCCAACACTTTCTTATTAAATCAATAATATAACATCCTGGCGCTTCTGGTACATATATTTCAGGTCTAGTTCCTTCACATATATCTAATGCTAGATATTGATCATGTGCACCATTGCGCAGAAAAATACATAATCATACCAAAACTATATATATCAGCTGCTTGAGCATAAGGATATCATCTTAATACTTCAGGAGCTACAAAGGCATAACTCCATAAACGTTTGCTTCATCTGTATTAGTAACTTCTCCACACAATCCCATATCCGAAATATAAATAATATCAACTAAAAGAGGACTATCATCTTTATTTAATAATATATTTCCTGTATGAAAATCACGATGAACAATCTGACTTTGATAATATTCCATAATAAAATTAATTTATCTAACCAATTAAAATTATTGCAATTTTTATTCAACCAAAATTTCCACCTACTGCATAGTGAAGAACCATAACAAAATCCTTTGTTTCTGGATGTTGAGATATTCCATATATATAAGAATGTTATTATCATTATAATTTTTAATCGAATATGCTTTAACCTGTTAAATTAAAAATATCCGTTATTATCGTTATATACAAAATACAAAAAATATTTCAATTTATATACCTCATTTAGGAAATCCTTGGTGATATTTTGTGAGTTACAGTATATAAACATTTTATAGCAACCTCTTTTTGGTTTCTTATTTTTACTTTTATCATATTCTAATGGGCCATCTTTCCATATTGTCAAATATACTTTGGCAAAACAACCTTCACCTATTAATTTAATTTCATTGAATTGGTTGTATGGTATCCATTCAAATATTAAATCATTATAAGAATTGATTTTTAATTGTATTTCTTAATTAAATTATCAATATCTTCGTTTCCACTAATTCAATTTGTAAAATTATTTATTAAATCATTCTTTTGACATGATTTACACCAATTATGTATAGTATCTGACTATCTGTATATTGATAATTACACTTTATCCAACACAAATCCTGAAGAATTATGATATAATCTTTCGTATTCATATCTTGAGATATGCCGTAAGTTTTAAGATAATTTTCATTCGAAATGTACGTAAAAGAGTACGTTTTTAACTATTAAGATAAAGGGAAAATCATTAGTATACTAAGAAAACATTTAATTAAATTTGTGAATAAATTTCATACCTCATTATTTATAAATTCACTAGTAACACTTTGTGAGTTAGATAAATATTTCAAAGTATTTCTTTTATTTCTGAATTCTAATATATTTGTTTTCACTTTTTTTTATAATCTAATGGACCGTCCTTCCATATTGCTGGAGCAAAATTATCATTACATAATTCTCTATTAATATTATTAAACTGATCATATGGTATCCATTCAAATATTATATCTTTGTAATATTGAATTTTTAATTGCATTTCTTGGATTAAGTAATCAATTATTTCATTTCCGCTTGTCCAGTAAAATTTGCTTTCAAATAATTTATTTGACATGCTACACACCATTTATTATCATTCTTTACATATTTTATACCACATTTCTTCACAATATCTGTCTTGAAGTACTATGATGTAATCCTTTGTATTTGGATCCTGAGACATCTCACATATTATATTATAATAATTACTTTGTATTATATATAATTTCAAATATTATCATATCATTAAAAGTATTAACTTTTAAATGCATTACTTAAATTAAATTATCAATAATTTCATTTCCTCTGATCCAGTTCGTAAAATTTTTTTTTAAGATAATTTTTTTGACACTCTACACACCATTCATTTTCCACATTTTTACAATAAATATTCTCAATAACTATAAAATAATCTTTTGTATCGGGATTTTGTGATATACCATAATCACTCTTTACTAAAAATAATTAATTATTATTAAAGAAAATATTTTAAAATTAAATTTTTTAAGTAAAAAATTTATAATTTCATACCTGACGTAAGGATCCCTCAGTAATATTTCGTGACTTACGAAAAGCAACTTCTTTATAATCATAATATAATGGACCTTCATTCCATATTAACTAAATATTTAACGAAATAACCTTCACCTATTTCTTCAATATTATTAAATTTATCATATGATATTCATTCAATTATTTTATCATTTTGGTTCATTAATATTTAATTGCATTTTTTTAATAATATCGTCAATTTTTCCATTTTCAATATAAAATAATTTTTAAATTCTTCATTTGATATGGTTTACACCATTTATATTTGAATTATTTTTTAATACTTATATATTGTTCGTCACATTTTTCACATCGTCCAAATTTATTTTGAGGTGTCATTATTTTAATGTTGAACTTTTCTTTGAAAATTTTGGTTAATTAAACTTGTCAGAACAAGGGGGAAAATGAATTTCAATGGGGCCAACCGTAATCATGTAGATCAATCAATTGGTAAATATGACGCAAAAAAATATATTTAAGATAAATTTAATCACAAAATATCTATAGTTCTGATGAAATAAATTTATAATTATACTTTAAACTATCCTTCGTTTCACCTTAATAAGGATAAAGATTTATATTTGTTCATTAAATTTTGGTATAATATTATAATTTATAACATTTATATAACTTATATGATTATTAATTTTCAACATGCTTAAAAAATTGAGAAAACAAATTTCAGCCTAAGAAATTTAATTATATTTTTAAGTAAAAAGCTTTTTTATTTAGAATTTAGAATTATAAGTTTATAAGTAAACAAAATTTTGATTTGGAATAAGATGATTAAAGGCTTATTCTATTTTCAATATGTTAAATTTTAATAAACTATTCATATTGTAGTAAATTAAGCAGGACATCCATCAGTTCAGTTCGGAGCTTTATTACATATAATGAAGTCTAGTTGTAAACCACTAAAATGTATTTATTCGCGTAACCGATACACCGAATCACCGATACACCGATCATCGTTATAAATTATAATCATTATAATAATTATTAATTTAAGTGAATATTTATAATTAGGCGCAACCAAAAATTAACTGAATAAGAAAATATTTAGAAATTGAAAAATAAGTAAATTAACATAATCAAATTAATAATTTATCTTTGAAAAAAAGTTGAGTCCAACGTTATTTTTTTTTTTTTTAATCATTTACTGACATATTAAAATATTAAAACGATAATATCATTAATTTTTAGTGGAATGAAATCACAATAATAAATTATGATCCACATTACTTTTAGTGTAAAGCGAAGTGTAAAATTCTTTTAGTTACTACGGAATCAAAATATTTAGTTTGGTTCTAGTAATAAAAATGGTCAAAATAGAAGATAAAATTTGCATAATGCAGAAAAAAGCAACGAGATATCGTTAAATCTTATATTTATAACGTGATTGATTACTTGTCTTTTAATGTTTTCAGGTTCGTGGTTTTCCACCACAATCATGGTTAATGTTAACATAAATCTTTTGAATAAAACTTTTTATTTTCCTAATTAAAATTTTATATCTCTAGCTTAGTTATTCTATAAAATTCTTGTCCTCGTAACATATGTGTAACTTTGCCAAGCAGTATTTAAATTGGTATTGCTGGTTATATTTATAAAGCCATTTTAATCATATTATTGAAGAACAAGTACTATATTTGGTTAGATATTGAATAATTGCATTAACTAAAAATAAGGGAAGAAATAAAAACCAACTCGTTAATATTTATCTATTTTATATCGAATAGTTAAGAAACAGAAATCAAAAA